GATTTACCCTACCAATTGCCCGGTGCGCGACTACCAGCTGCACATCTCCCGGACCGCGCTGTTCTGCAACACCCTGGTGTGCCTGCCCACCGGGCTGGGGAAGACCTTCATTGCGGCCGTGGTCATGTATAATTTCTACCGCTGGTTCCCTTCCGGCAAGGTAGTTTTCATGGCACCCACGAAACCCCTCGTGACACAGCAGATGGAGGCTTGCTTCCACGTCATGGGCATTCCGCAGTCTCACATGGCTGAGATGACAGGTATCTGAGGAAAAACTCGGCTCCCTGGGAAAGGCTGGCTCTTGTGTCAACTAGCCAGGCGGAAGAATTCCCCAATGCGAATGTTTTCATCTTTCCCCTAAGAACACCCACCGTCTGTGGGTAGCAAAGCCAAGTCTGATGCATTGACTTGCTTTAGTTGCTTTCAGAGATATCATGTAAATTGCCAGTGTTTTGAAGCAATTGTGTGTGCATGCTGAATGTATTTTTTTGGCATCCTATCCAAGAAGGATTTCCCCATTGAAGAGTTTGCTTCTCCCGGGGTTTTATGTTCTTTAGGAATTATCTAAAGACATTGCAATTGTAATCTTTTATGAGCCTGCTTCCACCCTTGGGTTGCATCACAGCTCCAAAATGCAACATTACAACGAATTGTCCAGTTGTTTTCCCCTTAAGGAGAGTACCAGAGCATGAATGTATTCAGAAACTAGGCCAGGATTTTTATAGCCTACCGATGATGGTCTAAAGTTTCCCAATGTTTACTATCTTGGTGTGTGTTTCTTCTGTTTTGTTATGAAGTGGGGACTTGCTGTATAGCCCTGGCTGGCCTGGAACAGGAGGTGTAGAACAGGCTAGGCTTGAACTTACAGTTGTCCTTCCACCTCAACCTCTAGAGTGATAGGATTACAGAGGACTGCCACCATACCCTGTTCCAATGTCACTTTCATTCACAGGTTCAACTCAAGCTGTCAGCAGGAAGGACATATGGTGCAGCAAGCGGGTCCTTTTTCTTACACCTCAGGTCATGGTAAACGACCTTACTAGAGAAGCTTGTCCTGCTGCCCGAATAAAGTGTCTTGTGGTTGATGAAGCTCATAAGGCTCTTGGGAACTATGCTTACTGCCAGGTAATCATTTTGTTAAAAGCTCTTCTGTAGAGGAGGCATATACTGGGTTTTTTTTTTAAGGATTTATTTTTATTTATTATATATACAGTGTTCTTTCTTTATGTTGGCTTGCACCTCAGAAGAGGACATCAGAACCCATTACAGATGGTTGTGAGCCATCAAGTGGTTGCTGGGAATTGAACTCAGGACCTCTGGAAGAGCAGCCAGTGCTTTTATCCTCTGAGCCATGTCTCCAGCCCTCGAGAGACATTATTAAGGAGCATTTGAGGGACAGGTCTAAATGATGGAAAATGTTGCTGGTGTGATTATAAAAGCTTCACACTCACTGTGTCAGAGCACATGGTGAAGGGAATACACTCCCTGTCCATTCAGGCTGGGTCTGCTGCTCTTTTCCTTTTCTTTTTCTTTTTTGAGACAAGATGTCACAATGTAGCTTTGCTGGCCTGGAACTCACAGAGCTCTGCCTGCCTCTGCTGAGACTAACAGCATATGCCACCACGCCCAGCCCCTAGCTTGCCTCCTAACTTTAACAAGGCCATTAATGTCAAATGTGGAACATGTTTCTTGGCTTCTTTCCCAGTTGAAGAATTTGCTTCTCCTCATATCTTATGCTCTCCCATAGGAATTATCTAAAGACTATATTTGCATTCTTGCACAAGAGCCAGAGCTCCAAAATGAAACATTCCAATGAATTGTCAAATTGTTCTCCCCTTAAGTAGAGCACCTGGCATGAAAGCATTCTTAAAGTAGGCAAGGCTGTTTAGTCCATCGATAAGCCTGGTCTTAGTTTAGGCAATAATTTAAAGTAGGACATATGTGGAATTTAGGAAGTAATAATCCAAACTTTGGAAGTGGATATATATTGCGGTAGTTTGGCATTTGGGTAAGATGACAAACAATTGTCAGTGTTATAGGAGTTAGTGGCATAGTATATGCAGTACACCTAACTGCACTTTCCACTTGAGTACTCTGAGAAGCACTCTGACTCAGTTGGGTTCGGTCATAGAAGCCATTCATCTCTTTACACTAAATACAAATGATCTTCTCTTTCCCTCTTCTATGAAGGAGACATTGTCTGTTCTGTTCTACCTTGGTATTTTTCATAAAGCTTTTTTTTGAAGATTTGTTTTCTCTTTACACACACACACACACACACACACACACACGTGGGTGGGTGGGTCTACACCTGTGATTGAAGGTGCCCTCGGAGTCTAGAGTAGGTTGGTGAATACCCTAGAGCTAGAGTTCCAGACGGCCAACATGGGTGTTGGGACAGAAGTCAAACTTTCTGCAAGAGCAGTATGCACCCTTAACTGCTGGGCTGTCTCGCCAGCCCAAGTAGCCTTTATTATATGTGTCCGGTTTGGAGGATCTGTTGCTGTTGTTGCTGTTGAGACTGGGTCTGCCTGTGAATCCAGGTTGGCCTCTGACTTGGGATATTCCTGAGTCAGCCTCTAGAGTGCTGGGATTATATGCATATGTCATCATAACCCATGACTGTGGAGATGTGTAATATCCATTATGCAGTGGATAGTAAAGAGGACAGATCGCAGAGGAATTTTGAAATCTGACATGTATAGATACTAAATAGCGTAGAAAACAGTAAAGCTGGTGGTCTTACCAAAAGTGATGACAGTAGGTTGAGGACAGAGAGTAGGAATAGAAGTGGGAGAAAGAAGGAAAGGAATTTGACTGCCAGTTTATGATCTGTAGTTTTCTTGGAGATAAGTATTGTTACTATATTACTCTGTATTATCCTAGGGAGAATTATCCTTCTTATTGCTATCACTTTAGCTATATCTAGGAAATATATTTATTTCAGTTTTTTGTTTCAGATTAATACAGACTGTATTGAAATTTACATTTTAGGAAGATATTTAATTATTGTTTCTTTTTGTATATTTATTTGTTTTTTGTTTTTGTTTTCATTTTGGGGGGTCCAGAACTGGCTTTGAACTCACTCTGTAGCCAAAGATGGCCTGCAAGTAAATGCTGGTCCTTCTCCTTCCCCAATGCTGGATTACACTGCACCCATCTTGAGAGATAGTTTAAACTTATTCCAGCTCCTTTGAAATTGTTTTTGTAGAATTAGCATTTATTTAGCTCATTTTATTTTCAAAAGGTGTCTAGGCATTATATGATTCTTGTTTTGAAGCAGAGTTGGAATTTAATAAAGATATTTTAATATAGGCTTTAGTACAAGGATTAAGAGAAGGTGTCTAGAAACTTCTGTGAGACACACCTGAGAGCATGGGTATAGGCTTCTCTAGGAAGAGTCATGGAAAGTGAGACATACCCAGTATGAGTACAGGCTCATCTGTGGAGAATCACAGTCTGTGTTTCAATGAATACAATTGACATGTATTGACTTAACTAATAACAGAACAGCCCCTGAGTCATTCTAGATACGAGTGACAACATGCCCACAAGCTCCTTGAAACTTGGACTCGCTGTACTCCTCAGTTTCCTGGGAGCTGAGGTTGCAGGCTCCCACCATATTCATACTAAAAAGGATTTTTTTTCTAAAGTACCAACCCAAAGAGCAGTGTGTTTATATCCTCCTTGCTGCGGCGATGCCTTTGCTTTTCATCCTTCACTTCTAGCGCACTGCTCACTTGTTTTGTTTTGTTTTGTTTTGTTTTGTTTTTCGAGACAGGGTCTCTCTGTGGCTTTGGAGGCTGTCTCTTGTAGACCAGGCGGTCTTGAACTCACAGAGATCCACCTGCCTCTGCCTCCCAAGTGCTGGGAATAAAGGCGTGCACCACCAACATCCAGACTGACTAGTTTTGTCAACTTGACACAAAGTAGAGTCACCTGGAAAGAGGGACCCTCAACTGAGGAATTGCCTCATCAGTTGGGATTATGGACATGTCTGTGGGTCATTTTCTTTTCCTTTTTTTCTTTTTGGATAGGGTTTTTCTATATAGCTTTTGAAGCATTTCCTGGAACTCCCTCTGTAGAGCAGACTGTCCTCAAACTCACAGAGATCTGCCTGCCTCTGCCTCCTGAGTGTTGGGACTAAAGGCGTGTGCCACCACCGCCTGGCTCATTTTCTTGATTAATGATTATTGTGGGGTGGCCAGTCCCCTGTGGGTGCTGCCACCTCTGGCAGGTGGTTCTAAGTTGCATGAGAAAGCAAGCCTGGCAGGCTAGTTAGCAGCCTTCCTCCATGGTCTCTGCTTCAGTTCCTGCCCCGACTTCCATCCTTTCATCCCATAAGGAAATGAACTTCCATCACTTCAGCCATCAACTGTAACTTGTCAGATGAAATAAACCCTTTCCTCCTGAAAGTTGCTTTTAGTCAGTATCCCCTCACAGCAGCAAAAAGCAAACTAGAATAAACACTAAGACAAGATTAGTTATTGAAAGCCAGATGTTAGTGGCGCATGCCTTTAATCCCAGCACTCTGGAGGCAGAGGCAGGCAGATCTCTGTGAGTTCGAGGCCAGCCTGGTCTCCAGAGTGAGCGCCAGGATAGGCTCCAAAGCTACACAGAGAAACCCTATCTCGAAAAACCAAAAAAAAAAAAAAAAAAAAAAAAAAAAAAAAAAAAAAAAAGATTAGTTATCGAAGATACTTTATTTTGCATAAAAGCTTTTGTTTCTGCCATGCCGGAGATGAACCTTAGGGCTTTCCTTGTACATGCTGTGCAAACACTTTTCCTTCAAAGCTACATCCTCAGGCTTTTTTTTATCAGTTCTAGTTTTTCCTCTGTTTTCTGGACCTCAGTCTATAGCCCAGGCTAGCAGAGAACTCACTGTGTAGCCCAGGCTAATCTTGATTTTTGCCAGTTTTCCTATCTCAGCCTCCTGTATTCTGTGCCCCATCATGTCTAGCTTATTAGTTCTTAATCAAAATAGTTTAGAAGTCTGCTTTGTATGTAATGTTATGCCTTTATATGTAATGTCTAGCATATTTTTAAAATTGTATTAATTAATATGTTTTGAGCAGTAGTCAAGATTCAGTGTGAGTATCTTGAAACCTAAATCATTTGTTTATGGGATGAGATGATTAGTGGTAGTTCCATGCAGCAGAATATCCTGGTGTCAGTGGAAGAATAAACCATAGTAGACCAGACATAATGTCTTGTTTAACCAAACTGTTTTTGTTTTCACATTGAGCAGGTGAAATTACAGTGCTTTTTTTTTTTTTTCCCCCTAAAGGTTGTAAGGGAACTGGTCAAATACACAACTCACTTTCGAATCTTGGCTCTTAGTGCCACACCAGGTAGTGATATCAAGGTAAGTGCCGTGAGTTTCTATTATTATGTGTAAGAAAATACAGATTTTTATATGGAGCCAGGCCAGTTTTCCATTTTAGTGTTTACCTGGTTTGCTGTGAGGACTGTGGCATTTCTGCAACCGCAGATGTTTCTTTGTCCTCATAGCATCTGTCCTGCTGTCCCTTGCCCCTCTTTTATTCCATTCTTTGTGAGTCAGGTTCTGGTCATGGTGCCAGGCAGGCTTCTTGCTCAAGGGATCATTCTACCTCAGCCTTCAACTTGGTTACTACTGCATGCTTGAGCCCCAGCAATAACAGGGGGGCTGGGACTTGAATCCAGAGCCATAAGCGTCTGTGTCAGTGCTTCTCCGCCCCACTGTGTTCCTAACCTCTTTTTAATATGTATTGAGTCATGGTATTGCTAAGGAAGTAGCCCAAGCAAGTCCTATCCTTGTTTTAGCCTCCTGAGCATTGGAGGCCTTTGCCACCTTGCCTGGCTAGTTTTTTTGGGGGTGGTGGTGGTGGTGGTGGTGGTGGTGGTGGTGATCTTCCAAGTTTCTTGGCATCAAGACAGTGTAATGTATACAAATTGAAATGGTATGACTTTCACATTGACATTGCCTCCTCTGATGTTAGCACTGATATAACTGTATATTTAAACCATAATATTAAAACTGACACACTAGTAAGTCTTCTGCAGATCTTGGTTTTTCCAAGGTGCCTCCACCCTCACCCCATGCCTCTTAGCGCTCTGGGTTGTAATCTAACTTCTCTTTTCTCCCTGCAGCCTGTCTTATTGCTCAGTCTCACTTCCCATGACCTCTCTGCTTCTGAAGAGTAGGATCCAGTTATTTTTGTAGAATATCACTCAGTTTGGGTCTGTCTGGCGCTTGATGTGGTGAAGTCATATTGCTCGGTTTTTGCAAGAAGGTTGACTTGGAACCTTTCTTGGCATAGGCTAGCAAGGAATGCCTGCTGTGGATTGGTCTCTTCTGGTCTGCTGCTGATCTTGACCTGCATTGGTTAATGTTATATGATCTAGTCTTCTGCATTGTAAACTTAGCTTTCTTGTAGAGCAGAGTTGCTGAAAGCCTGCAAATATCCCATTCGCAGCAGTTATTGCTTTAACATTTGCATGTTCATCATTTCTTATCTCCTTTCCCAAACTTCTTTTACTTTTTAAAAAATTTTTGGGAAGCCAGGTGGTCGTGGCACACATCTTTAATCCTAGCACTCAGGAGGCAGAGGCAGGTGGATCTCTGTGAGTTCGAGACCAGCCTGGTCTACAAGAGCTAGTTCCAGGACAGCCTCCAAAGCCACAGAAAAACCCTGCCTCGAACCACCCCCCCCCCAAAAAAAATTTGGGGGACAGGGCCTTAAGTTATCCAGGGTGGCCTTGAACTCACTATGTAGTCAATGATGACCTTGAATTCTTTTTCTCTCCCCCCCCCCACCACGCCTCAAAGGGTTTCTCCGTGTAGCTTTGGAGCTTATCTGTAGACCGGGCTGGGATCTTGAACTCTTGATCCTCCTGCCTCTGCTTCCTGAGTGCTGGGACTATAGACATATATTACCAGGCCTGTTTTTATGCTGTGCTGGGGATGAACCAAGTTACCATGCATTCTAGTGCAAGCACTCTACTGCCGCAGTATTCCCAGCCTTAAGTTTACACTTGTGGTGTGACTTCTGCAACAAAGACCCATGTTCTCTCAAAATCCTATTTACTTATTCATTTCTTTATGTCTGTGGGCACTAATGTAAATTTATTGTGTTTCTGTGGACTAAATGAAGCATTATTTTGTTGTCAGTTGTCCTAGCTTTTGCCCCATTTTTAAATGGCTTCTGTGTCTATTAGTCATATATCGCCATACTATACCACCTGTTGCTTTAAAAATATATATTTTGCATCACAAAATATTTATGCTCATTTAATGTTTTTTCTGTTCTGATCATTGCATCAGCCATTTCTCGAAGGAACTCTGGGAAATAGTAAAAATGCACTTTGCCCCAATTGGTGCAGCATATGGAACCTGGGCAGCACACTCTGCTTGCATTCTGCCACTCGTGCAATACCCCAGTCCCCAAATTGAATTCTGCGTTCACCTGCCTGACATCCTGGTTTCTTTATCTGTTGACGCTTTCCAACATTGTTTTACCTCTCGCAAGCTGCAAGGCTCTTCTTTTCTTTGTACACAATCTTCTTGTGCTTATCCTTTGTTCATGGATCGTCTTCATGACAGTTAGAAATTTGCTCTCATCTCTCCTTTAAGTATGCTTGATTTTTCTCTCAGATATTAAATTGTTGCTTAAATATCTCCTTAAAAAGGATCTGTTTTAACTAAATTATCAAAAGTCAGCTTTCCTGATGTTAGTTTTTCTTTTTTATTATTTGTGTGTGGGTGCACCTGTATGTGCATATGTGTGTGTGTTCATGCTTGTGCTCGAACACAGAGCCCAGACGAGGATGGCAGGCATCTACCCTCCTTATTCCTTTGAAGGTAGACCTGTCACTGAACCTGCTAGGCTAGTGTCTGTCCATCCCCAGGGCTCCTCTGGTCTCCCTGTCTCTGCCCCACCTTACTGAGTTGTAATCATGCACATACAGTCACACCCAGCTTTTCACTTTTACTATGGTATTGGGTCCAAATGTAGTTCCTTGTGCTTTTAAAGCACGTACTCTTACCCACTGTATCCTCTTTTCAGCTTCAGATTCATCATAATCTGCCTTTTTAAATCTTTCTGCCCCAACTAAATTATAAAATACATGCGTGCAGTGCTTAGGCCTATTTTAGCAATAGTTTATCACTAACTGAATGCCTGGTCTGTGGAATTTACAGATATTTGTTGATTGGGTATGGTAGCTCACAGTTGTGATCCTAACACTTACAGGGCTATCACTGGAATAGTACCTCTAGTTTGAGGCCACCCTGAATTATATAGTGAGATCCAGGCCAATCTGAGCTACAATGAGACTGACTCAAAAAACAAAGAAAGAAAATATGGAACAACAACAAGAAAATTGTTGAATGAATGAAATATAAAAAAAAAATATTGCTGGATATGGTTTTGGAAATGCCTTTAGTTCCCTCACTGAGGAAAAAGAAGCAGGCAGATCTCCCTAAGTCTGAGGCCAACCTGGTCTATGTGGTGAGTTCCAGGCCAGCCAGAGCTGTACAATAAGATCCTGACTCAAATAAATAATAGCAAATGAAAGCCTTCATTTTATGAAATAGTTATAAAAATGTAGTCCTTAGATCAATGGACCTCATATAGTACGGGGGAGTATTTGGGTACACAAAGGTGAGTGAGATGTGATTCTTGTTTTGGAAAGTTATTTTATTATTTTAATGTGTGGATGTTTTACTTCCATTGATGCCTGTCCCCTAGAACTATAGCTAACACACAGTTGTGAGCTGCCATGTTGGTGCTGGGAACTGAACCTGGATCCTTTGGAAGAGCAGATAATACTCTTAACCATTGAGCCGTCTCCCCAGACCCTAAGCTATGGTTCTTGTCCCAGAGGATTTTTTGAGTTAAACTAAGTCAGAATTCCTTTCATTTTTGTTTCACATTTATGAAATAGAGTCTCACTTTGTAGCTCAAGTCAGGGTTGAAACTTAGTGCAAAGCCCAGGCTGGAGTTAGCTGAGACTCTGCCAAGCATACAGTTGCATCTGGGCTTGTTTTGTTTCTTTTTAACTATTGATCACAGTGTCAGTGCTGTAGTCTTCTGATACAGTCATTTTAAGTCCCAATGCAAACTTTGAGTGAATTTTACCTCAGAAAGGTATTACATCATCTATGTATTTATTTGTTTATCCTTGTGTTTTTGATGTGGGGGGTCTTATGAGCTCAGTCTAGCTTCAGATTTATAATTCATCGTGTTATCTGATTTACACCTATACTTCTCTGATTCTGCCTAGGCTGTACAACAGGTGATTACCAACCTACTAATTGGGAAGATAGAGCTTCGTTCTGAAGATTCTCCGGATATTTTGCCCTATTCTCATGAAAGACGAGTTGAGAAGCTTGTTGTTCCCCTGGGGGAAGAACTTGGAGCCATCCAAAAGACATACATCCAGGTAAGCCATTTTCATCACTTTGGGGTTCTGACAAATGAGCCAGGGATGGAATTATTTCAGTTAGAATATAGCAGAGTATATATACAGTACTTTGTTTCCTATAATATGAAAAACATCTCTGAAATTGAAACTTGGGGTCAGTCAGCCCCATTTTTATATGCACAAAACCGTTTTTTCTTTACAAAATGGGCCATTTGTAAAACAGATTAATAGCCTTAAGCTGGATATGGTGGTGTTGAGGTTGACCCTGTCTGCCTAATAAACGTATATTTAAATGACTTGCAACTTTTTTTGTTGTTGTTGTTCTTGCATCGAGATAGAATCTCCCTATGTAGCCTAGGCTGGACTTGAACTTGTGACTCTCTTGTCTCATTCTCTTGAATATTAAGATTACACAGGAATTGTGGGAGGTCCCTGCAGGCTTTACAGCCCACAGGGAAATGATCTGTGTGAGGAAAGAATGAAACTCAGTTCAGCCCCGTTTTAGGTAACTGGTTCTAGGCCAAGACTTCTAGAGTCTGACATCAGAGTGTTTATTTTTGGCATATTTAAGCACAGCACAATTTTGGAAAAAAGTTTTCAGATAACAATGAACTCAGTTCCAAGCTTAAGGCATGTTTTCATTGAAGTTCTTCACAGGGAAGAAAATGAACTCAGTTCCAAGCTTAAGGCATGTTTTCATTGAAGTTCTTCACAGTGTACATATGGCTTCATCTGTGAGATGGGTTCTTGTTGACTTAGAAGCAGTACTGTAGGTAAGGGTCTATGGCATCGATTCTTAGCCTGTGGGCTGCGACCCTGTGGGGGCTGCATATCAGATACTTCCCAGTTCATAACAGTAGCAAAATTACAGTTATGAAGTAGAAATGAAATAATTTTGTGGTTGGGGGTCACTACAGTATAGGAACTAACTGTATTAAAGGGCTGACGCATGAGGAAGGTTGAGAAGCACTGCTCTAGGGAGAATGACTGAGGTAATCATAACCCCTGTCCATAAGATAACATGCAAGTCACTTAGGTTGTGAAGTACAGGTGACATCTCTCACAAGGACAAGTTTTATGGACTAGAAGTAGTGCTCAAGGTTTTAGGGGGAAAGGGTATGCAGAAAGTAAAACATAAATTCTGGGGGTACAGGCTCATCAGACAGCAAGGGATCATCAAGTTGTAAACTACAACTTTCCTGGAGGACAGCCAAGTATCTTCTCCCCTTGGAGAGCTCAGCTGTGTGTTTAACTTTCCTGACTTCAGTGCTTATCTGTGGGCACAAGGAACTTTTTGCCCTCTATAGGGAGTGTGGCAACATTTCTGATAGGGGGGGGGTGGAAAGAAAGAGAATTAAGTATGTACTCCTAAATGTATAACTATATCCACCTCAGTCTGTACAGTGTTACATATATGTGCGTGTTTTCAGCACAAAGTGAACATATCTGTCATTCAGCTAGAAGTTCTTTTGTTTTTGAGACAAGGACTCACAGAGATCTGCCTGCTTCTGCTTTTAGGTGCTGGCAGAAGTTTCTTTTTCTTTTTTATGTGCATTGTTGTTTTGCCATGGATATCAGGTCCACTGGAACTGAAGCTTTAGATAAAGACAGTTGTGATCTTCCATGTGGGTGCTGGGAACTGAACCTGGGTCCTCTGGAAAAGCACTTAGTGCTCTTAACCCCTGAGCCATCTCTCCGGTCAGGTTTTAAGGAC